CTCCTCAGAAGCCATACACAGAGTCACTCTGGGTCAGAACCGACTCAATGGCACTTAACAACAACAACAACAAATGATTAACAGAAAGGTCAAGAAAAACAAGGAAGAATTCATAAAAGTACTACAGGAACAATCAAGCAAAACAGATACAGGATTGGAGACAACACAAAACCTACAAACAGAAAACCGTAAGATTAACAGAAATAGACGATACATTGAAAGGACAAAGGAAACGATCTGAATCAATGGAAGCCCACATTACTGAGCTTGAAGACAACATTTCTTAATACTAGTAAGCTAGAAGAACAATCTAAAAAAAACCTGAAGAAAGCATAAGATTCCTGTGGGACAACATGAATAGGAATACCTTACAGGTGACTGGAATTCCAGAATAGAAAGAGACAAAGAAAAGCATAGAAAAGATAGTTTGGAGGGCAGCTGGAAGAAAATTTCCCCCATATCATGAAAGATGAGCCGAGAAGCATTCAAGAAACTGAACGAATCCCAAACAGGATAAACCCCAAGAGAAAATCACCAAAGTATATCATAATCAAACACTCCAGAATCAAAAACAAGGAAAAAATCCTGAAAGCAGCTCAGGCCCACCAGCTGCTTCTAAGAAACCCTATAGAGGGTCATTATGAGTTGGAACCTACTCAACAGCACTTAACAACAAAATGGATATGTAAAGACACATTTTTAATATGAATAAACCAAAACCAAATCCACTATGATCCAGCTGATCCCAACTCAGAGAACCAATATAGAGATTCTAAGTCTAAATCCGTTGTTGTTGTTGTTGTTATGTGCTGTGGAGTCAGTTCTGACTCATAGTGGCCCTGTACAGGGTTTCCGAGGCTGTAAATCTTTACGGGAGCAGAAAGCCTCTTCTTTCTCCCGCGGAACAGCTGGTAGTTTCAAACTGCTGACCTTGTGGTTCACAGCCCGATTCGTAACTACATCTGTTACAGGAGTAGAAAGCCTCACTTTTCTCCCATGGAGTAGTTGGTTGGTTTGAACTGCCAATCTTGCAGTTAGCTGTCCGGTGTTTATTGTACAGCACCACTAGGGTTCCTTTAATGTTAACAGATATTGTCCAATTGTGTTCCAGAAAGATTGTACCAGTTTATGCTGTATGTGCATTTTCTCCCAGTGGTTTCCAGGCAGCATTTCATTGTTAACTATGGAGTCTATGTTTACACGGTATTTATCTTTTCAAACATCAGAGACTAAACAAAATGGAGTCATTCAAGAAATATTTGTTGTGCCTCTACTATGTACTAGAAACAGTTCACGGCGGAGTAGTGAACAAGCTGGACACTTTATGTATCACTGAACATACACTGGGGGAGCTCACCCCACACATCCCAGTTTAAGGGTACCCCTAATCCAAGGTCAGTCCTCCCCCACCATCAAGTCTTCACCAGACTACAAAAGTCCATGGAGGCCCACTTAGCCTGAGAAAGTACAACTAGTGCTTACAGGAAAATAGTTCTTTCTGGTCTGCCACTTCCCAGACAGAAAGCACTCAAAAAGCCCTTATTCTGTACTGGTCAGCTAGAGGAAGGCATGGATGAACAAGTCTGGACCCAGGCCTTCGGAAGCTCACGGGTGGGCAGAGTTAGGCTCTTAGCCATGAAAACAAATGGCTGTACCCAGGGTTGTGGGCACAGTGAATTCTATCTGGGAAGTATGGTACGGCATGGCAATGTGAGAAACGTTGTCGGTACCCCAGACACGACCCTCGGCCCCTCTTAGGCTTAGGTCGCCGGCGGGTTATCACGGGTATTTACCTACAAACGCTCAAAGAATCCAATCCGTACTAGTTTTAGCAAGAGAGATAGGCCTGTTTATTTGATTTTGCAAAATCGGGAGCCTGGCCAGTAGACACGGGCAGACAAGCCAGTGGCCATTTGACAAAGAGTTTTATTAACCTAACTCGGAAAAAGCCGCTCCTCCACTTCCCCTTTACTGGGTACTTTGGAGTTTACAATCTTTCCCAGGCACCTACTAGCCTCTACAGGGAGCATTCTCATCTAAAGTTAGTTTCACCCCCTCCCCATGAACTTCCCCTACTTCTATGATGGGTGTACTCTTATCTTAAAAGGGTCTAGCAGGTCAAACTAGTCCCTTCCACTTCTCAGACTTCACTTTTGTTATGCCAACTTGCTACACACAAGATTTCCTTGATTCTGAAGATGGATCACCCCAAAAGCTATTTCTCACAGCAATTATGTAGCAAAAACAGCTAACATCTAATGCACACGCAAGGTGTCAGGCTTCAAAAAGCTCATGAAAAAACTTTATCTTTCAATTCCATTTTTCCAAATTATTTTGAAGCCCCATCTTACAATTTCACTTAATCCTCAGACCCACTCAATATTATACATATTATCAGATGAGAAACTGAGACTCAGAAGAACTAGGTGAGTTACTCACAGAATCACATCTCTTGACTGGCCAAACCAGGATTCACACCTGGTCAGGTCTAAATTGAGACCTGAAAAATAATAGCCATTGATAAAGCCACAGGAAGAAAGGACAATAATCCAGACTGCAGGAACAGCAAGTGCGCAGGCGCAGTAGCTAAAAAGAAAAGGGCAAGATAACTCATAATCAAGAGTCTGGTAGCATGAGAGGACAGGGTAAGGAGAGTAAGGACAGACGAGGCTACAGAGGTAGGTAGACAGGCCAGATTAAGAAACCCTGGATGTTATATTGAAAAATTATACCCTCAGGGCAGCAAGGAATCAGTGAAGGTCTACAACAGGGGAGTAAAATCAGTTACCAGGAGTGTTTCCCAAATCCTGCAAAGGCAATGAGAAGGGAAGGAAGGGCATTTGCTAATCTGTTGAGTAACTACTCTGGATCACACAGTGGGCTAGACCAGGTAGATTTATTTTAATCCTTATACCATCCCATTTTACAGATGATGAAAACTGAGACTCACAGGGTATGAATGCCCAGACCAAGGTTACAGAGCTATTAAGCAGAACTGGGATACTTCACCAGCAGCATTGCCAGGAGCAGAGCTGTCTGAGACAGTAACAATGGGCTGTGTGAAGCATTAACAAGTACAAGGTAGGAGAGTATCAGAAATCAGATTAACATTTTGAAAAGTTTTCAGGCAGCAGTATAAAGGACTATTGGAGGTGTTGAGTGAGCCTCAACAATCCAGGTGAGCAGTAATACCCCAATATGTTGGGATAGTGATAATAAGATGGAAAATAGACTACCAAAAGGATTCAATGTGGCTAGAGCTGAAAGAGCTTGTTTTGCACCTGATACACAGTAGGCTCTCAATGAGCAAGGTCAAGGCATGCCTTGTTTTATTGCTTCACTTTATGGTGTTTCAGGTATTGTTTTGTTTTTACAAATTGAAGAACTGTGGCAATCCTGTGCGGAGCAAGTCTACCAACACCATTTTTCTAACAGCAGGTGCTCATGTCATGTCTCTCTACTACATTTAGAAATTCTCAAACATTTTCAAACTTTTCCATAATGCTATTGTACACTTAACAGACTACAGTACAGTGTAAATATAACTTTTAGATACACTAAGAAACAAAAAAAATCGTGTTTCACTTTTTTTTGCAATATTTGCTTTATTGTGGTGATCTGGAATCAGACCTGCAATATCTCCAGGTCCAGGTTTGCCCAGGATAGGACCTGTTTACACTTGCTGTCCCAGCATAAATATTAACTGTGGTCTCTTTTGCTTCTGAAACATCTTGGTTTGCCCAATAAATTATACGGTCACTTTAAGCGACGGCCTGTTGACTAAAAGCAGAAGCCTGTCCTGGTGACAAAGTGGCTAAAGAGCTCATCTGCTAACAGGTGGGCTCAAACCCATCAGCTACTCCTGGGACAGACTGCTTAGGTAAGGATTTAAGTGTAATCGAGTCAATTCTGACACGCAGCAACCCAGTATCACGTTTCCGATAAGTGGCTAGTGGGCTTGAACTGTCGACCTAACAGTTAAAGTTCAATGCTTATCCTACAACACCACATCAGGACTCGAGGACTTACAGCCTTGAAAATCCTCTGGGACAATTCTACTGTGTCCTAGAGGGTTGCTAGGAGTCAGAGTTGGAATTGAGTAGAGGGCACTGGGTGGGAGAAGAGCTGAATAAACAATGTAGGTTCTCACTCTGGCACTCTGCCATTTCCTTCTACCCATTCTCCAACCTGGAGCCTGAGACAAACGGACCTAGAACTGGTACCGTTCAAAGTGCCCAAGCCTTCCTACCAGGAGAGACTCGGGACGATACCAATACATGGACTCCAACCCCCTCTTGGAGCAGATCCATTGTGAGCCCAGCCACACCATTATTCCCAAAGTTGTTAATAATAATAATGGTAGCACTCGATCAATCATTTCTAAGCACTAACCACGTGCCAGGCACTAAACTTGTCAAGAAAACTGCACAGCGGGCATCATCATCTCTTTCCATACTTACAAGAATCCTTTACCAAGATCACAACGTTGGTTGGTCAGTTTTCAGGACTGGATTTGTATCCAATTCTGTCCAACTCATTCATACTCTTAACTAACGCACTCCACTGCCTCAGTCTTGGCTGGCCATTATGTAGCCCAATGCCAAAATCTGGACATACTGACTACCTTCTTCATAATGAAAGCAAACCCCACACCAAAATGAACCATCAAGTACCTTCAAGGTCCCTGCTGGGGTCATCATATCCCCACAACCAGCTCCTTACTAATGTCCTCCCCGCTTTCTTCTGCCCATCGCTCACACCCTCCTCAAAGTATATACTGGAAACTACAGGCAAGTGTGATGCAGATCGGGACCCTAACACACAATAAAAGCTGGTGGGCCCTTTATAAGTGATACCCCTAAAGAAACCACCCCAAATACCGCTCCTGTCGGGAGACCCTCAAACACCCCAAGAGCACACCCCAAGGCCCTATTTGAGCAAACCTCCATCAACTGGAACCCCGACTAGATTACCGCTAACCCTCAGCGCCCGGGCCGCACCTGCAGCCGCTGAGAGTCCCGGGGATGGTGACGTCCTCCTCCAACGCAGAGTCCATTATGGACACAGAGGCAGTAGTGGCGTTGGTGTCCGTGGCGGCGGCGCCACTGGAATCCCCTGTTGTCGCGCAACCCGCCCGACTCCCCAGGTCCCCGCCCCCTCCGGCCCAGCTCTTGTTCAGATTCTAGCGGCGCCGCAGGAATTCAAACCGCAGCCGCCGCCATATTTCCCGGCGCTTCTTCTACGTAAACGAGGCGGGGTGATGGGGCATTTGCGGTGAAGCTGGCCGGCCGAGGCCAGAAGCCGGGCAGTGACGCGCAGTCAGGCGCCATCTTAACTAAGGGCTGAGCATCCTTATTTGAGCGATCAGAACTTTGCAAAGAGACGCCGGTTGCCATATTTTATGAGGGCACTACGATAGCGGCCAGCACAGGCGCCATCTTTATTTAGGGTATAAATAAGGGCCTGATCGGTTAATTTAAGCGGGATATGCGAATCTAGTCCCTCATTCATCCGTAGCGGCCCTGACCTGGTGTTTGCAATCTCGAAACCTGAGGGTGTGTGCATCCAAAATGCTTCTGACTTGAGTGGAATAATCGGACTGTTGCCTCTCATTAGAAAAACCCTACATTTGGGATCCCAATTTAAAAAGTAATTTGCACACTTGATTTGAAGCAAATAAACTAATCACTATGAACCAAATGGAGTCCTGGTGTGACCCTGTAGGATAAACACTGGACAGCAAAGTCGGTTTGAACCACAAGGTTGTTGCTGTTTATTGTCATCAAATAGGTTCCAACTCGTTGTTGTTGTTGTTGTTAAGTGCCTTCGAGTCGGTTCCGACCCATAGCGACCCTGTACAGGGTTCCCGAGGGTGTAAATCCTTACGGGAGTAGAAAGCCTCATCTTTCTCCCGCGGAGCAGCTGGTAGTTTCGAACTGCTGACCTTAAGGTTTGCAGCCCGATTCGTAACCACTACGCTACCAGAGCTCCTTTAGTGACTCTATATAGGGTTTCCGAGGACCGGCTGGTGAATTTCAACAATCGACTTTGAGATTCAAACCGACCTTGGGGTCCAGTGCTTATCCTACAGCGCCACACACAAAGCAGGAGGTTCAAACTCACTAGCCGCTCCTCTGAAACCCTATGCAGGGTCACTATGAGTCAGCATTGACTCAACAGCACTTAACAACATGAACCGAATGGTCACTGCATTCCCACTTCAAACTCTCACCCAGTGATCCTTTGTTGCCTTTAGGGTTCACATGCATCTAAGATCTGTTGACTATTCCCCAGAGAGAGAAAAACGACTTACCAAACGTCAGTATACAGTGATCCGTGATCCGTCAGCTGGCACCAGATCCTCAGCACCTACTAAATCAGGGCTCTCCATAAACCATGGTTGCCTTGCTTAACGCACGTAAGGGCTTCAAAAAGTTCATGGAAAACTTGAATTGAAAGAATACAATTTCTCTATGAGCTTTTTGAAGCCCCTGTGTAGCAACCACCAAACATCTAGATTCGGCTGTGCTTAGTCATCCTCTCCATCTTAGTACTGTTGACTTCCTCTAGGGTCTGTTGAGAAAGTCCTGATTGAAAACCATTTGAAAAGATGAGTAGGTGGGTAGAAGATGACTTTCCCTCTAACCATAAACAAGTGCCCCATTGGCCTCAGTTTCCTCATTCTTCATGTAAATTGTCTCTTTCTAAAAGAGGCCTTCCCTGATCCTCTAATTGAAATCAAGTCCGTCTCTTATATATGCTTAGCAACTTGTACTTTTTCCCTTTGTAACACTTTATCTGTGTGTTCTTGCTGTCTTCCTCTTGCACTAAACTGGAAGCTCCAAGAGACCAGGAACTGTGTTCTGATTTGTTCACCTGGCACTGTGCCTGCCACCCAGAAGGTGTTTTAAAATAGATTTTAAATTAATGAAGCTAAAATCCATCAATCCATCTGAAAATGGGACTAATATCTATGCTATAAGATTTTTGTGAGGATGACCTGGCATACTTTTGAAGATCAGTCAATAGTAATCAATACTCATTCATTCTCTCTTCTCCTCTCCTCTCCTCTCTTCCTTTCACCACACTTTTCCTTCCTTTCCCTGCCTGTTTTACTCTCTCTTGTTTAGGCCAACAAGTCCCACAATCCTGCACCTGATCATCCCCAGATCTTCAGCTACTTCCATGATCAACAATAAGGTGGGGAAAAGCCGGCAGGAACCAGTCGGTACAGCCTTTGACCTGCCCTAGATAGTGGAGGTTCTTGAAGTCCTGAAGCTAACACTTCTTGCTAGTCTTAAATTCGTCAAATGAAATGAGTATTCCAAAAGCAAGGAAGCTGAGCTGTCAGGATTTCTGTCCTGGCTCTGCCATGGACTGTCTAGGATCTTTGGAAAATCACTTCTCTTAGGGCCTCAGTTTCTATGTCTTTAAAATGAGAGGGTTGGACTGGATGGACCACTCAGACCTAACAGCTCTGGAGGTTATTTCTCTGTGTTTATTTCAAATCTACTAATACAAAACCAGGGGGACAGAGATGGTGCAGTGGTAGATTCTCCCCTTCCATCTGGGAGACCCAGTCAATATGTATTCCTCATGCATGTCCACTACCTGTCTGTCAGTGGAAGCTTGTGTATTCCTATGATGCTGAACAGAGTTCAGTGGAGCTTGCAGGCTAACATAGATTAGAATGAAACGCCTAGAGATCTACTTCTAAAAAGCAACCAGTGGATCAATACCAAACCCCCAATAATACTATTTTTAAAAAGTAAGTATATAAAATGTTGAGTTAAAAAAAAAAAACACAAAAATAAAAACAGTAAATCCCTGTGGCTCACAGTGGTTGAACCTGCTATGAATCATAGAGATGGCACAGGACCAGAGAGTGGTTCATTCTTTTGTGCATGGAGTCATTAGGAGGTGGAGGCCTACTCACCATCAACCATTTAAACCAACTCTTCTCTGGTGAGGGAGGCTGAGAATACAAATCATCATTTCCAAAGTGAAGGAACTAGCCTTTCATCCAAAAAATGAAAGCTCTTGAGAAAGAAAACAAGGAAGAGAACATACGCATTTTGAGCATCTACGTGGGTTAGACATCGGGCTGCTAACTGCAAGGCCAGTGTTTCAAACCCACCAGCTACTCCATGGGAGAAAGATGAGGCTGTCTACTCTCATAAAGATTTATAGTCTCAGCAGCCTTACATAGGGTCACACTGAGTCAGAACTAGCTCAATGGCAGTGGGTAAATGCCAGGCATATCACACACACCATTTCAGTGAACCCTCGCAAACCCCTAGAGTATGAACTATGATCTCATTATAAAAATTACAGATGAGAAGAGTGAGGCTCAAAAAGGGAAAAATAACTTATTCAAAGCCCCACTGCTGGTATGTGGCAGAGCTGAGATTTGAGCCTAGGTGTCTCTGAACTCCAATACACTATATCAAGAAGTGTGTCTTCTCTATTGGTTTTTCTCCACTTTAGAATGTAATATTAAAAGATGAGGTCTACATCCAGATAATAGTAGTTTAGGGATGGTGCTCTACAGACTTGACTTGGGCAACTGCTTCTAACTGGCTGGAGCTTAATGTAAGTGCTGGCAGTATGATCACAGGACACAAAGTCTGGAACCCTTCTTTATTTTTAGCAGATCATAACATAGCAGTTGTCATTACTAACAGCAGAAATAACTTTTTCTGAATCTGGAAACCCCTCCAAGTTATCTTGTGACCTGGGGTCCCTTCCCCTGGCTAGACCCTGGTTTCCCCATGTGTAAAATGAGGAAGGCAATGCTAAACTCACATGACTGCATTATCTAATTAGATGCTTTGAAAACTATAATAGAGAAAACGCCTATGAGGAGTTTTTAATATGGTTAATCCATTACTCTAGTTAGTAAATGGCCATTTTCCTAGATTATGTGCTAAGCCCTTTGATGAACCTGGAAACCAAAAATAGAATCATTTGCACAAAGGATAGGCACTTTGGGAAGTTGTTTTCCTGCTACTGTAGTCATTTCATGGTCAGGGACAGAGAGGCCTTTGCCCCATCTCTATCTCTTCGTGGCCTTTCTTTCTGCCAAGCCTGGAGGTGACGTCACAGTCACCAGCTGTTTGTGCTATCTGGAGCCATCTCCTTGACGACAGCCACCCAGCCACAATGCTGGTATTATTATTTCCGTAGGCAAGGTCATATCAAATGGCTGGGCGGAAGTACTCTGCAGCCAGCTGTTTCTCATTAGGGTGGAGCCCTTGTGAACTTTTAGCTGCTCAGGACACAGGAGCTGTCATTACTAACAAGAGAAATAACTTTTTATAGGATTAAAATGTACACATGGCTGCTTTGTGCAAATTCATTTCACTCTCAAGACTGTGAAGTAGATTGGGATGACTGCCCTTCATCTATAGATGAAGAATCTAAGTCTCAGAGAGGGAAAGGGCTTTGCCCAAGGCTATAATTCTTTGTTGTTGTTTTTTTCATTTAAAAGAAATTTTAGAAAAATGTTTGCAGAAACAGTATGAGTGCATCCACAAAGCCAATGTTCTACATCCTACTTTGGTGAGTAGCAACTAAGGTCTTAAAAGTTTGTGAGTGCTTACTGAAGGTGTAACTATTGATCTCTTCCTATCCAAAGGAAAGAAGAGTGAAAACAGTCAATGATGAATGGAAACGATTAATCCAAAGCACTACTGGACCACACGACCCTCTGCCTCTACAACCCTGAGACCAGAAGAGCTAGATGGTGCCCAGCTACCACAATCAACCACTGTGAAATGGATCACAATAGAAGGTCCTAGATAAGTGGAGAAAAATAGGGAACAAAACTCAAACTCATAAAAAAGACCAGACTAGACTTACTAGTCTGACAGAGATTGGTGGAACCACTGAGGTGATGGCCCTTTGTCACCCTTCAAGCCTAGAACTGAACTCACCCTACCCCCCCACCCACCCCCACCCCAGTTCCAATTTAAGTCAAACAATAGATAAGTCTATACGATGATAGATAACACCAAGGAGATAGGCACTTCTTAGAACAATCTGCCACTTGACTTGCTCAGAGAGAAAGCTCAGAAGGCAGAGAAGGATAGGAAAGAAAGTTGAATGGAAATGATGATAAACACAGGAAGTGGGAAGAGTGCTGTCACATTTTAGGGATTGCAATCAATGTCACAAAACAATCTGTGTTTGAATCTTTCAATAGCTTTCACTTAAATCATAA